ATTGCACCACGGCCATTGCAGTTTCGACAATTCTGAAAGTAAAGCAAAGGACACATAAGCAAACCATTAGAAAGACTCTGTTGACAGGCTAGCCCTACTTCACTGGAGAATTAATTTTATTATTTTTTTCTTAAAATAACAGTAGTCCTCAGCAAAAGGATAATAGATTCCTGCCCATAATTATTTTTCTTTGACCTTCCTATGGTTAATCCATTTTATCATGCCTTAGGCTTCCTCCAACTATATATTTCCAACTATGAATACACAAATATCAAATGTTCTCTGGGAGTCTTGTGGATATCTATACCAAAGAAGATAAAAATCTCCCAAAGTGGTTTCAGAAAGCAATTGCCCCTTGAACTGAGTATGAATTTTCCTATTGAAAAATCATAATTTCTACTTAAAATCCCAGACTACATACTAATTGAATTCCCTCAAGGCTATTAAAAGCAATGAAATGTTATATGGTTCATATGGAAACATGTTTTTTTCCCCTCTAATTTCACAATTTGTACAAGAGTTCAAAAGACAGCATTTAGAACCCCTGTAAAGTTACTGTACTTTACTTGGAATTTACTTGGATTTACTTTTGATTAGATTTAAGTAGGTGTAACAACTTATCTTTAAAATGTTTAACTTATCTTTAAAATTAGTATCTTATATAAGTCCTATTGTTTTTGCTTCAAGCTCACACAGAAACAAATTGTCCATGTATATTGCTGTCAAACCTTCAAATGCTCTGAATTTAGCCATGTTTCTTCGCTTTTCTGTTGCCACAGCATCAAGAGGGGGGAGATGCATTCTTATACTTTAGTCAAAACAATAAAGCATATAAGGAACGGCTGTTGGAATTGGGTATGTCTAATTTAATGAAGAGAAGGACAAGGGGGGGGGACATGATAACACTGTTCCAATATCTCAGAGGCTGCCACAAAGAAGAGGGAGTGAAGCTATTCTCCAAAGCACCTGAAGGCAGGACAAGAAGCAATGGATGGAAACTAATCAAGGAGAGAAGCAATCTAGAACTAAGGAGAAACTTCCTGACAGTTAGAACAATTAACCAGTGGAACAACCTGCCTCCAGAAGCGGTGAATGCTCCAACACTGGAAGTTTTTAAGAAGAGACTGGACAGCCATTTGTCCAAAATAGTATAGGGTTCCCTGCCTGAGCAATGGGTTGGACTAGATGACCTCCAAGGTCCCTTCCAACTTTTATTATTATTATTAATAATAATAATAATAATAATAATAATAATAATAATAATAATAATAATATAACAACTTTCATGTGGGAACCAAGGTCAAGCAGCTTTAATGTTTGGTGGGTGGGAGCTATCATTAGGAAGCCCGCCAAAGGTGTTAATTGGGGATTGTGATTTATGACACACCAAGAGGTGGGGAATTCAACTTTTACTTTGTAACCTTTTTGGGGGGGGTAACTTTCACAAACCTATGTTTGTGCTGATATTATGTGGTCATTAAAAGTGTTCTTTGAGGAAAGCAATTGCCTCAGGGTTCTTATTTCTACTGGTCTCATTTATCGAAACCATGACATTAAACCAAGTCTGAAAGTTAACCCCCCCCCCAAAAAAAAAGGTTACAAAGTAAAAGTTGAACATAACATATTGCATTGCATTAATGTCGGAAGCACTGAGGCGTTTCCAGGTTGACAGGATTAGCTGGTGACAACACCGTTGCCCAGGTGTATGCCCAGGCAGGGGCTGGAGTGAAAGATGAGAGCTCACCCCATCCCACAGCAGCACTCAGGTCTTGAACACAGGCTTGCTACTTGTCAACCCAGCATTCTACCCAGCCACCATGCTCCCCATCCATGTATAAACAGAACTTTTTCTATATGGGTAGTGGTATGTGGGAATGACCTTGAGAGAAAAGGAGGAAGGTGTCAGACTTGTGATATAGTCAGACAAAAAGCACAGCAAGGAATATCAGTTCTGTCTTTATTGTAAGGTTACATTAACAGAATGTTGCAAGTCTGAAAGTACATTTTTTTTCTTTGTCACCTTTACAGTCCAAGAAACTAGGGAGGGTTCCTTCTGAGACATTTGCCACACCCACATTCCTTCTCTGGGCTCAACTGCTTCTTATCTGACTATTGCCTAGTCTGTGGCTCTTCCTTTTCTCTTCTGAGATCATTTCCGCATTTTGTTACAATATGTAATCAAATCCCATTTTTATGTCAATTTTCCTTCTTTTAACTAAAATGCATAAGAAGACTATATAGAATCATAGGGGTGGAAGAACCCTGGAGGTCTTCTAAAAATATAAATAATAAATATATTATAATTATTTAATATGTGTAAACCAGAAGTTTTCCTTGACAAATACAAATACTATTTTTAAAGTTTATATACTAAAATACTATCTTAAGGTTTCAAACAGTAAAAACTATTTTTGCTACAATGATCAGAGAGCGGAACATCAAATGCCACATTAGAGAAGGTAAGTCATTTCACAGAACTTAAAAGTAACCATTTTTTAAAAAATCAAATAATCAAGTGTATAAGGATGAGTCAGGGAAACATAATTTGATTTCACTTCCTATAACAAGATCCATTAATGGCCTGTACCATATTTTTGTAATGTACGGTAATAACCCACCATGCCTTTTGCAGAGGCTTCTAGACTGACTAGAAAACCATTTCTGTTTACTTTTTACTAGTTTTTGTAGAATAGTCTGAAATATATGTCCTGAATTCAAATATGTATTTGGGATTCCATTTTCCTCATGTATTGCTTGCATAATGAATCGATTTAAGCTCATTGTGACCTGATAATGCACAATTGGGTGGCATTTTATTGTAATCGATTTCTTATTGTATTTCTAATCTACCCAATTATCTGATAAGCTTTAACATTCTTATGCTTGTCTACTTTCTTTAACACACTGCCAACAAAACCATTTCAATAGTAATTTTATACTCTAGGAGTAATTACTTAGATTACAACAGTATTCAAAATATTGAACATTTCTAAGACTACTTTAAAAGTGAGAGTAATCAGTTAAACAATAACTTGCCATGAACAAATAGCCCAAGAAATATATTTTCTAGAGCTGTTTTTAGGAGCCCTTTAGAAGTTGTTCACCAAGTGCAGTTTTTTTTTCAAACTTGGCATGCTGGCTGGAGAATTCTGGGAGTTGAAGTCCACACATCTTTAAGTTACCATGTTTGAAAAAACACTGTTCTGGTGGACCATGTATTCACAAAGCTGTCTTGGTTGACTTATTGAACACACTTTAGAAAAGCAGCATATAACTGTAATTCTAAGAAGAGTAAGAAATATTTGTTTTACCCCCAGGGAATATGAGTGGGGCACTGGGATATGCATTTCACAGTCTGTAAACAAGGGAGGTGGATCCACGGGGATTTCCCAGGGGGTGGGCGGAGGTGCAACTTCAGCTGAGTCCACAAATCCACCTGGAAGACAAACACACAGACCCTCCTCAGTCAGTCATGAAACTAAATGACAAAACAGCATGATTGTGAATTGTATTCCTTTATGTATTTTGGCCTCAAAATAGACAAACACTACAACTATACTGCTTTAACAGTGTTCCATTAAGCAGTACAGATTTTTTTAAAAAAATATTGAATAATATGCCGCGTATAAGTACTGTAGTGATTTTTAAAAACACAGTTAAAAAAGACACTGCCCACAGTCACTCTATGAGGGAGATGAGCAATCTCTAAATATGATATATAAAAATAAATAAAATCAATCTTCCCAGGATCCCTTCAACAACCTCAGGATATTTGAGGGTATGATGCCTTTCCAATTTTCTCTACCCACCACAAGAAATCCAACAGCAGATCCTGTTAATTAAGAAAAGCTATCTAATAGGACCCAGAAAGCACAGTTTTTCTGTCATGGTAGTTGCCCTTTGGAACATCCAACCACCTGAGACCAGATTAGCCTTCACCCTAACCCAGGCATCGGAGTCAGGAAGTCAGTGGAGCCCATGTAATGTATTATTATTTTGAAGGAATTATCCCTGGTGGACTTTTATTTTTTTTCCTCTTTGATTACATTCATTTTGGTATTTTAATTTTAACATATTTATTTTGTTTTTAAACTTATTTGCCACCCAGAGTCACCAATAAAGGAGAATATTTGTAGCTCAGCCATGTGAAAAACAATCATAAGTCACTTTTTTCAATATCATTGTAACTTTGATTGGTCACCAAACAAATGATGGTAAGTTGAAGACTACAAATACTTTGCCATGATTCCATTAAATGTTAATGTTAGAGTGTACAACTAGTTGGATTAGTATCTTGAAAGGTTCAAAGTAGTGATCCCTTGCAAAGGAATCATTCTGGAAATTTTCCCTCATTCCCCAGAATTACTCACCATAATAGCATTCACTAGCCAAGTGTGTGTCTCTACTTTCAGTGAAAGTCTCTAACCGATACTGAGAACAGAAAACAGCAAATAATTCATTAACCTGAAACTGAAGTCTTAATTCTTTAAACAGAAGTGGCCATCCTTGGAAAGCAGACTGGCTTCTGATGTGGAAATCTCAGCCAACAATTAGCAGAATCTGGCTCTGTACTTTGTCTTGAGAAATTCTAAAACCCAGACCTAATGCTTTCAAATGAAGCAATTACTGCTTTATTTTTAATTATTCCAGTGAGTGTAAACTACTTTCATTCACCATGAAATAACTGCCCCCCATACAGTTAAGTTGTTAGAAGCTTGACGTCAAACTTGTTTACAGATATTTATTTTGGATTCTTAAATCGCATATCTACACACACCAATAGATGCCCTTGGATGAGACTTTCAAGAAACACATAATGTAGAGCAGCAATTTTAAACTTATGGACTACAACTCCCAGAATTCAATGGCTGGCTGGGGAATTCTGGGAGTTGAACTCCACAAGTCTTAAAGTTGCCAAGGTGGGACACCCCTAATCTAGAGGATAGCATGACAAGTCCATTGACTTGATTACAGGAATGTGTACATATTGAATCCAAAGCCCAATGGTACCACACTTCTTGGAGCCTCCTTAAAGAAACTGCATCTTTCTCTGGGTTTGCACTGTAGCCAAACAATTACATGAAAATATGCATTTGAGTTCAGATGGTCTTTCCAGGATGTGACCAGATATTTCCATGTAGATGAAGACATAGTTTTGAGTAATATTTCTTAAATACTAAATGGCAAACTTGAAAGTATAACAAGGAGTGAAGTTAGGAAACCTAGATATTTAGCACCTTGAACGGAGACAGTCTAAGAGTCATTTTGCTGAAGCTCAGGTCAGACTTCCTACAGTTCAGTCCTCAAAAAATGTCATTCCCTAGATACAACTATGGTACATACTCTGTATGTGTTGAGAGGAGTTAGCTTCTGGACTTTTAAATGCTTTGCAGGGGCAGTCCTATAGCAAAACTTTGTTGCTGTGTACTGGAGAAATGCATCTTTAATCTCTTGTTCAGAGGTGAGGAGAGTGCTGAGGAAAAAAAATAGACAATACACTACTTCATTTGGGGTTGAAATAATTATTAGAAAACTTTATATCCTGATGTTCTGAGGCCTCAAAATTATTGTATGTAATGAAGCCATAACTACTATTCTTCAAACATTTCTATTTCCACCAATTTATTTCCTTCTCCTAGAGAATCATAGGTCAATCTGTGAACTGGATGGAATTGTTTTGAAAGAACAATTGGGTTTACTCTATCTGCTGGTATGAGTAGTCAGCAGCTGGGATCATGGTATCTTAAAAAAGTAATTCCTATAATCCACACTAATCTACTGTTCACTAAAATAATTTTAGGATGCCTGCTTAGAGTGCTTCCATCTTCTAAACTAAGTAAAATAGACTAGATTGTGAGGGGTCCTTGGTGCTCTCTGAGCTTGGTGGCTTTCTTCCAATTGTTTTCATTACTCAGATAAGGTAATGCTTAGCACTGATGATGTTACCTAGTTTGGGCAATGAAATATCTGAAAGAAAACAATCAAGCTCAGAGAGCACCAAGGATTCTTCATTTCAACCTGAGCTACAAATATTCTCCTTTATTGAGACCAGACTCTTCAACTCTTACGCCTTGGTTTCAGAAACAAGACTTTTGCCCTCTTGTACAGGAAAGGATACCATTGTTTCTTCAGAAATAATAAGGGGAATAATATTTCTCTTAACAAATCCTCTTCACGCAGTCTTTGGTTTAGGTGCCCCAGTTGTGGAGGCTCTTGAATTCTCCTTACAGTACTTATTTTTCTTTCAAAGCAACAAAATTACAGGTGCTTTAATGAAAACAGAGTTTAAAGGAATGTCCAATAGATTTCATGTATTCTATTACTCAAAAGACAATTCTTTATACGTAAGCTTTGCTTAACATGTATAAAAAATACCCTCATTTGTAAGGGACTTACAAAAAAGTATTGTTAAGGGACAGAGCTCCAGCTAGTTAATAATATTAGATTGAGAATTAAAATTAAGTCCTGAAGGTTTTTTTTAAATAAAATTAAAAGGATTAACTATGGGAGTTTAAAATGAAGATTCTGTTGGCTAGGGAAAACCAAATATAAACATTGTATCTTGGCCTCTACATGTGAAGATGATTCATATGTAGGAATAAGTTCAAGATTTTATCCAGTGTTTTTATCAATACTACTAAGGTTAGTCATCCTGTCTATTTGAGTAAAACAGTAAAACAGAGTTAGTCAAATAATATCATACTTTGAATCACTTAGATGTTGAGGTGGCTGTTGATCAAGTAAACCAGACAAAGGTTTGCTTCCTGCAATGCAAGAGGACATAATAATAAATAACACAGGATTTATTTATTTTTTACATCCATTCCAAGATAATATAAGTGGTTTAAGCCACTGCATACTGTTCAGGAATTGAATCTTGCAAATAAAGTTCATTGGGTTTAACCAATGGTATGCTAACTGACAATTCTAGAATTGTAGACAGCCAGAAAGCTAACCATGATAGAGATATGCATGAATAATTATCCATGCAAAATGGTGCTGAAACATATTTTAAGTCCAGAAGATTCTGGTTGCACAGGCTGAAGCCTCCTTAATTCACAGGTATGACAAGGAGAAGGTAGAGCACAATTGGATTTGCAAGATTCTGTTGTTATAGAGAATTTCAATAAAAGTCATATTAGTCTTCTAGGTTGCTTCTCTCTTTGATTAGTTTCCATCCATTGCTTCTTGTCCTACCTTCAGGTGCTTTGGAGAAAAGATTGACTCCTTCTTCTTTGTGGCAACCCCTGAGATATTGGAATACTGCTATCATGTCACCCCTCGTCCTTCTCTTCATTCAATTAGATATACCCAAGCAACTATTCTTTATATGTTTTAACCTCCAGTCCCCTAATCATCTTTGTTGCTCTTCTCTGAACTCTTTCTAGAGTCTCAATATCTTTTTTACATCGTCGTGACCAAAACTGAATGCAGTATTCCAAGTGTGGCCTTACCAAGGTGGTGTAAAGTGGTATTAACACTTCATGTGATCTTTATTCTATCCATCTGTTAATGCAACCTAGCACTGTGTTGACTTTTTTGGCAGCTGCAGCACACTGCTGGCTCACATTTAAGTGATTGTCCACTAGGACTCCATGATCCCTCTCACAGTTACTACTATGGAGCAAAATACCACCTATACTGTACCTGTGCATTTGGTTTTTCTTGCCTAAATGTAGCACCTTACTTTTTTCACCATTGAATTTCATTTTGTTAGATAGCGCCCAGTGTTCAAATCTGTGAATCTTAAGCCTATCTTCTGGAGTGTTGGCTATTCCTGCCAGCTTGATGTCATCTGCAAATTTGATGCGTTCTTATTGTTATTTAGTAGTAGTAGTAGCAGTAGTAGTAGTAGCAGTAGTAGTAGTAGTAGTAGTAGTAGTAGTAGTAAGAGAAGAAAAAGAAAGAAGAAAAGAAAGAAAAGAAAGGATAGTAGAGTTGATTTAGGGGATGAGTCAAGTGTGTGTAAAAAAAATTACCTCCATTCTTTCCTGAACTTTGTTTTTCATCTATCGATCCATTTTTCATTAGTTCATAAGGAGGTGCAGAAGCTCCTTCAAAAAGAGATGAATGACTAGATGTCTCTACAACAGAGAAAGGTATTATAGAAAGAAACACAAGTAAAAGCCTTCCCACTTGTTCTTGATGAGCAACCATGGAATGAGGCAACTATATAATAATAATGATAAAGTTGGAAGGGACCTCGGAGATCATCTAGTCCAACCTCCTGCTGAGGCAGGAAACCCTATACCATTTCGGACAAATGGCTGTCCAGTTTCTTCTTAAAAACTTCCAGTGTTGGCGCATTCACCGCTTCTGGAGGCAGGTTGTTCCACTGGTTAATTGTTCTAACTTTCAGGAAGTTATCCTTAGTTCTAGGTTGCTTCTCTCTTTGGTTAGTTTCCACCCATTGCTTCTTGTCCTGCCTTCAGGTGCTTTGGAGAATAGCCTGACTCCCTCTTCTTTGTGGCAGCCCCTAAGATATTGGAACACTGCTATCATGTCACCCCTCATCCTTCTCTTCATTAAACTAGACATACCCAATTCCAGCAACCATTCCTTATATATTTTAGCCTCCAGTCCCCTAATCATCTTTGTTGCTCTTCTCTGTACTCTTTCTAGAGTCTCAACATCTTTTTTACATCATGCTGACCAAAACTGGATGCAGTATTCCAAGTGTGGCCTTACCAAGGCATTGTAAAGTGGTATTAATACTTCACGTGATCTTGATTCTATCCCTCTGTTAATGCAGCCTAGCACTGTGTTGGCTTTTTTGGCAGCTGCAGCACACTGCTGGCTCATATTTAAATGATTGTCCACTAGGACTCCGAGGTCCCTCTCGCAGTTACTACTATTGAGCAAGGTACCCCCTATACTATACCTGTACATTTGGTTTTTCTTGCCTAAATGTAGAACCTTACTTTTTTCACCATTGAATTTCATTTTGTTAGATAGCGCCCAGTGTTCAAGTCTGCCCAGATCCTCTTGTATCCTAAGCCTGTCTTCTGGACTGATCATATATCCTGAACACAAGCCATTTAGAGCTCTGAAAGTTATCATGAATATATTGAAAGTTTTAGGAAATAAACTTACAATCAGTGAAAGCACTTTAGATAGATGTAGCATTATCCCATAACCAAGCATATACCAAAATTCTGCTACAACATTCTGAACAGATGAAATTTCCAAAAGTACTTTTAAGGCAGCCCCAAACAGAGAGCATTATTATTATTCAGCAGGTATATAATAGGTATGTGTTTCCATAATCAAGGCTATTTCTTTCAAAAACTGGCATAGCAAATATACCAATCTAATCTGGACTTAGCTACCCCTAGGCAGGCTGTGGCCTGATCCTTACCTAAAATATGTTCAGTCCCAAATTCAGAATCCTTTCTCCTTCCAACAGGAATCTCCTCCATCTTAACTGAATTAAAGCATAACCTAGTATTCCATGTTTTACCAGCTCCAGCACCAATTCAAGACATCAACAATTTCTGAATAACAGATGAAAAGAACAAGTCGATATATACTACCTTTGTTTTATTTCATAGAAGTCTTTCCAAACTTCCAGAAGTGCAGAAGAAAAATAGCCATGCTATTCTGCAAACTATGATACTCACGTACCTCATCTTCCAATTAAGCTATGGAAGATATCTTGTGAACAAGATATCCTATCACATCAAATATGTGACAACCTGTTTCAGATTTTGTGGTGGTCATTGTTACAAGGAGAAAGACGCTGTAAATAATAGCAGTAGTTCTTCTGCTTTCTTTATTTTAATTCCCAGAGAAACTTTCCGTCTTCATCTGCTGTCTGCCTTTTCTTTTTGTATGGCCAACCTAGCAGCACTCTTGACACACTAAACGCCACTCCTGAATTTAGCTCTAAGCAATTCATAAGCAAAAGAAGGTTGAATTTAAGCTCTCTTCTCAGATACCTAGCATGCCTGCTGTATTCTAAGCATTCTAAGTACCCTCTACTGTGTATGGAATATTCCATGTATACTCTTCATGTAAAGGAATCTGTAGCTCAAATAACATCAGTAAATTTGCTGTTGCTAAATCAAAGTGTTTTGAAAGGCCGAGGAAAGAGCAAATATGTAAACCTAATGCCACCACCTTTTTTTGACATTGGAAGTTGCAACATTTGCACAAGAGGACTGCATTAGAGAAACTTTCTGAAAGGCAATCAATTATATGTGTGAAGTTACACCTTGTGGTTGTAACAGTGGATAAGTCTGAGCAAGAGGAACAAACCTGCAAATGTTTGTATTGTATTGTGCAACAAAGCAAGAATGCTGTTCTGCGAGACTTGGCATAATACTAAGGCTCTTGTATAGAGATATCTTTAAAAGATTTAATCTCATTGTCAGAAGGATCAAACCCTTATTTTTTCTCTATTCATTTCCAAGACGAGAATTTAATAAAAATCACCACACGATCAGTGGAGAGTCAAAAGAAATATGTTTATTCAATCAAAAGTTGCAATTGCTCTGTCATCATAAATTCTTCTTCCTGTGCAATCCTTCCTTCTTTCCATATTCTGCTAAAATATAAGTTTCCTTATCTTAGAGTTACAGGAAACTTCCTTATTAATTCTGAAACAGATGCCTCTTCATGTAGAGCTAAAACAATGGACATTTTGTCTTTCCTATTCACATGTTTTTCTATACATAAGATATAAGTTTTCCTTTATGTGGGTTTTGCTACATGGAATACTCATTTGTTTATACTGGCAGGAACCAGCATTACTGTCTTCTCTTTACAATCTTTCCTTATTGTAAAAATGTAAGA